AATTGTGGGATGGAGGGAAAGAGCTTAGATTAAACAGGGCTTTCCCTTACCTTAAAGAATCTATAGAAGATAAAACCGCAGAGTATATTCCCTTGAAGGGCCCTATTTATGGAGGAAAAAATCTTGTTAAAGTTGCTTGCTGGGAAAACAGCCATGAGTTGAGCTCCTTGGTGTATTTGTCTTCTGGCAAACTTGACCCTTGTCTGGACTGGAGTGCAGATAGTAAACCGTGAAGGCCACCTAAGCAGTGATAAGTGCACTGCGGGACAATAGTGGAAGGATTGTTCCTACTGGGACTGTTATGCTTGAAACCCCCATAAATTGCAACCCCCCCTGCATTGGCGAAGGCTAGCACAGCAAGGAGCCACAAAATGGATACTTATCCTTGAATCAAATTTGTTCTGAACCATGGCGTGTAGCAGACCTGCTCGGGCTAAGGAGTTGGCGGGGAGAAATGCAAATACTGGTTAGCATGAGTATCAACAAGGCCAGTGAATTGTATTTGCATAATGAAAGGGGAAAATAATATAACCCTGAATCTGGTCCATTTCCTCTTTGTATTAGAAAATGATAGCAACAGGTCTTGAAAAAGGGCAGAAGTAGCCAGACTGAGTTTTCAATATGAGAAACAGTGCTGACTAAAAAGAGAAAAAGATGTGGCAAAAATTAAAAGGTTTCCGGGCAGCTAGTGCAGTAGGCTTCTCCAGAATCAAAAACTGAAATAGTTCTTCAAACCGTATTGCAAACATTTCAATATTTTCTGTCTGTTACAGAGGGAGCGATTGTGCTACATCCCTATCCAAGCAGATCTCCCAGTCCTACTGGGGCAATGAAACAAACACTGATGGTAATGTGAGTTTTGGCTGCCTAGAGCCTGCAGGTTCAGGCCCAAATGGAGAGGCAGTATGGTCACTGGATAGGGGATTGGGCTAAGAGTATGTCTACATGCCAGCTGGGAAGTGTAAACTTAGCATATGTCTACATGAGCTAGGATTACACTTCCCAGCTGGCATGTAGACACATGCTAGCTCCGGGGTCGGCAACCTTTCAGAAGTGGTGTGCCGAGTCTTCATTTATTCACTCTAATTTAAGGTTTCGTGTCCAGTAATACATTTTAACGTTTTTAAAAGGTCTCTTTCTATAAGTCTATAATATAGAACTAACTACTGTTGTATGTAAATTAAATAAGGTTTTTAAAATGTTTAAGAAGCTTCATTTAAAATTAAATTAAAATGCAGAGCCCCCCCGGACCGGTAGCCAGGACCCGGGCAGTGTGAGTACCACTGAAAATCAGCTTGCATGCCGCCTTCAGCACGCGTGCCATAGTGTACTAGCCAAGTAGAGCTAGCACACTAAAAATAGCAGGGTGGCTGCAAAGGTGCAGGCAATGGCTTGGACTAGCCAGCTGAGTACCAGCCTGTCCAAGGTCCTTTTGCAGCTAGCTGGAGGTGCCACCCAGGCTGCCGTGGCCACACTGCTATTCTGAGCATGATAGGACAAGCAGAGCTAATGTATGTACATCTACCTGAGTTGGAAATTATACCTCCCAGCTATAACGCAGACATACCCTAAGGTTATATTCTGCATGGCAGCTGGTCGCGTGCTTTCCAGAATGCTAAAAATAGTAGTGTAACCAAGGTAGCATGGGCAGCAATTCAGGTTAGCTGTCTAAGTATAAGTCCTGGGTACATACTTGGGTGGCCAGTCCAGGTGGCTACCTTTGGCTACCCTGCTATTTTCAGTGTGATAGCTCAAGCAAGCCAATGCTTGTCTCTCTACTCATGTTGGGAAGCATGCTTCCAGCTGCAGCATGGACATACCCTAAGAGTGAGTAGGTCTGGTTCTGTAACTGAACTGCTATTTCACCTTGGGCAATTCACTACCTTATGCCTCAGTTTCCTCACCTGTAAAATGGGGATATAATGACATTCGATTCCTGAGTTAAACTGCTTTGAGAGCTACAGATGAAAAGTACTATAAGAGCAAAGTCTTATTATTTATTCATTTTATTATAATGTTATTTAAAAAAATATTGCTCTCAGATCAAAGCATTTAAGCACTGCTTGTCTAGATAAACAAAAAGGACTTGCAGGCAAATAAAAGGGCTATTTTCCAGATGAAGTTAGTGATGTGCAGCTGTAAGACACAAACTTCATTTCTGTTCTAACCAATTCCAATCTAATAGTAGTTGTTGTATTACAGCAGTGTCTAGTGGTTTAATGAAGATCGGGGTCCCATTGTTCTAGGCTGTACACAAACACATAGGAAGATGTGTCCTAAAGACCTGTTTTTATAAGAACTTATCCTGTTAAGACCCCAATCCTGCAAACATACACATCTGTGGGCAGGGGCGGTGAGTTATGGGCCTGTGGTGCCTGGGCACCAGCAATATTCAGGGCCCGGGGGCCCAGCTCCACCAATGTTTGGGGCCGGGTCTCTCCCCTGGCACCGCCTGCCCCCCCACGCACCTCCCCCAAGTGTCCCCCAGTCCCCACTTGCTGCCCCTGCGTGCCTCCCCCGGGCCCTTGTCCCAGCACCCCAAACTCATCCCCAGCCCTGCCCCACCCCAGAGCCCCGCACCCCCAGCCAGAGCCCTCATCCTTCTGCACCCTAACCCTCTGCCCCAGCCCCAAGCCCCACCCCACAGCCCTCACCCCTGCACCTCCTCCCTCTGCACCCCTCCCACCCCCAAACTCCCTCCCAGAGCCTGTACCCCCTCCCTCAGCACCCCTCCCATCCCCAAACTCCATCCCAAAGCCTGCACCCCCCACTCCCTGCCCCAGCCCAGAGCCTGCACCCAAACTCCGTCCCAGAGCCTGCACCCCCACCCCCTTCCCACACACCCTCTCATGCCCCTAAACTCCCTCCCAGAGCCTACACCCCTCACCCCCTCCTGCACCCCCACCACTTGCCCCAGCCCGGAGCCTGCACCCAGCACCCAAACTCCATCCCAGAGCCTGCACCCCAACCTCCCCTTCCCCACCCAAACTCCCTCCCAGAGCCCAACCTCTCATCCTTTCTGCACCCAAACTCACTCCCAGAGCCTGCACCCTGCACCCCTCCTGTACCCCAATCCCCTGCCGCAGCCTAGGGCCTGCACCCAGACCTCCTCTCCCCACCCAAACTCCCTCCCTGAGCCTTAGGCAGGTGGGGGGGGAGCTTGGGAGGGCAGGTTCTGGGCACCACCAAAATTTCTACAAACCTGCCACCCCTGTCTGTGGGTCTACTGAGTTCAAGCAGATGAAATCCAAGAGATGGCTTATAGTGCTGAGTGAACACACTTGACTGTTTGCTTAATTTCTTAAATGGCATGTCATTATACTGATGATAAAATGAGTCTACAGATATGAGAAAGTATAGGAAAGACCCTCCAACCACTACATTTAATGATATGTCTGCATTTCCTTTATATAAACTCTATTTCCAGGGATTTATAACTCACCCAAAAATAGTCACTCCAGACTTGAACTTGGCATACAAAGTTTCAGCTTGGGAGCAATTTTGTTGTTGCTGTTATACATTTTTCCAAAAAAATAAAATAAAATCTGTTTTGTCTGTTCATGTGCAAAACCTGAAGCATTTGAAGCATGCCAGTTTCAGAACGCAAAGGTCTGTCATCACTCAGAGGTTTGACTTTAAAATGAAGTCCTGGGTGTTTACAGTCTACAATATAGATTAAGCCCTGCTTCTATTTCTAAACTAGAACAGGGCGGCTGGATAGCTTAGGGTATGTCTACCCTGCAATAAAAGACCCTCAGCTTGGCTGTCGCTGGCCCAGGTCTGCTGGCTCAGGCTTGTCGGGCTTGGGCTTTGAGGCTATACAATTGCAGTGTAGTCGACTGGGTTCAGGCTGGAGCCCGGGCTCTGACACCCTGGAAGGGGGAAGGGTGGCCTTTGAAACATTAGTTGAAGTTTTTTATGCCTTAATTTTCCTAGCTTTTCATGAAGCCCTATTTTTTTTTAAATAGGAATAGTCTGAAATTTGTTTTAAAATGATCCTAAATCCAGATCCAACTAGGTATTTTTAAAAGCATGTTATTTACCCGCTAGGCCATGCCAGTTTATTTTTTAAAATCATATGCAGTAGCAAACTTTAAAAAATAAACTGGCATGACCTAGCAGATAAATTACCTGCTTTTAAAAATGCCTAGTTGTATAGCTGCATGCTCATAAAAATATGGATTTAGTCTGATTTTTAGGCTATTCCAGTTTACCTTGTGATATGAGCTCAATCAACCCCACTCAGGGCTCTAAAGTAGACTAAAGAATCATGTGTCACAATAGCTGGATCTAGTGAGTGAAGGGAGGCTCAAATTTCAGCCTTAACCCTGAATTTTGTAGTCGCTGTGGGTTCAAGTAAGGATCTCCAGGCAATCTGAATGTAGCTTATTGTCGTTTAATGAAGTACAGTGCAAACTTTAAAACAGAGTACTCACCATTCACAGACTGAATAAACAAAAGCATATTTAGACAACTGTGTGCTGTTCTACATTCTACATCACCAAAAGGAATCAGAGTCTGCTCTTTAAAACCCCCACACAAGTCCTAGCAGCACTGCAAATGCCTTGCAGGCTGATTTCAAATGTGTGCTATTTTAAAAGTTAAATGAGCGTTATTCACCAGATCTGCATGCACTTCACGAGGTACAAACTGCTACTTTTTAGATTCCTTTTGCTAAGCAGCTTTGAAAAATATCTATACAATGCAAAGTGTCATATTTTATACATATTAATATTTGCCCTATTGTGTGTTTAAAGTTTTAATTGTCTAAAAGGGATTATTGAGCAATGCTTTTGGCCTTCCCCTGAAAAGCACCTTTTGTGATTAGTCCAAACTGACAAAAAAAAAAAAACAGAAAAGGAAGAATTGGCAAATATTGCAACTGGTATCGCCATGAACCAGTACCTGGGTTGTTTTGTTTGTGTGTTTGGTTGGTTTTTAAAGGTAGCAAATACTAGAAACCTATTATTTTGACCTAAAATGTCATTTTGCTTTCTTACCGATTCCATAATGAATCTCTTGAAGAAAAACTTGAAAGCCTGGAGGCTGAAGATCTCATGTCTCATCTGTCACCACAAGAAAACTACCTACGTCAGGAGAAAAAGTGAGAAAAGTAATTAACAGTGAACAGAGCTATGGAACTTGCAAGGTCACTTTTTTAAACTTTAAGTTTGAAACAGTGTCCAAAATCTCTGAATGCCTCAGTAACAAGACTCACTGTCAAAAAATTCAACATAAGTTACTTAGTTACTTTGCAATAAATAATTATACTTGTTTTATTGTACTTGATGTTGCAAGTTTTCTCACAAGACACATACCCATTAGAAAATAATTGAGGTAATATTAGATATTGCTAAGAGAGAACTTCTTCAGCTTACCGGGAAAAAACGTTATGCATAGAATTTGGCAATTATTTACTTAGCTGTATTATAGGTGGGGCTGGTAGCACTACATATAATTAAGGTTGCCCAACATTTCCCATTATAAGACCCTGGTTTTGGTTGCTTATACCTTTGCCAAAGTTTAACTCTTTGGGCTGAAATTTTCCAAGACTGGTGTTTACTGTGGACTGAAATTGTTTGGAAAATTTCAGCAAAAACAATTCAGCCATTTCTGAGAAAGAGACTAGGAAAATTATATTGTTTTACCTTGTTAAAAGAATTTTTGAGACCTTTGAATAGAATCATAGAATATCAGGATTGGAAGGGACCTCAGAAGGTATTCTAGTCCAACCCCCTGCTCAAAGCAGGACCAATTCCCAACAAAATCATCCCAGCCAGGGCTTTGTCAAGCCTGACCTTAAAAACCTCTAAGAAAGAAGATTCCACCACCTCCCTAGGTAACCCATTCCAGTGCTTCACCACCCTCCTAGTGAAAAAGTTTTTCCTAATATCCAACCTAAACCTCCCCCACTGCAACTTGAGACCATTACTCCTTGTTCTGTCATCTGGTACCACTGATAACAGTCTAGATCCATCCTCTTTGGAACCCCCTTTCAGGTAGTTGAAAGCAGCTATCAAATCCCCCCTCATTCTTCTCTTCTGCAGACTAAACAATCCCAGTTCCCTCAGCCTCTCCTCATAAGTCATGTGCTCCAGACCCCTAACCATTTTTGTTGCCCTTCGCTGGACTCTTTCCATTTTCTCCACATCCTTCTTGTAGTGTGGGGCCCAAAACTGGACACAGTACTCCAGATGAGGCCTAACCAATGTCGAATAGAGGGGAATGATCACGTCCCTCGATCTGCTGGCAATGCCCCACTTATACAGCCCAAAATGCCGTTAGCCTTCTTGGCAACAAGGGCACACTGTCGACTCATATCCAGCATCTCATCCACTGTAACCCCTAGGTCCTTTTCTGCAGAACTGCTTCCTAGCCATTCGGTCCCTAGTCTGTAACAGTGAATGAGATTCTTCCGTCCTAAGTGCAGGACTCTGCACTTGTCCTTGTTGAACCTCATCAGGTTTCTTTTGGCCCAATCCTCTAATTTGTCTAGGTCCCTCTGTATCCTATCCCTATCCTTCAGCGTATCTACCACTCCTCCCAGTTTAGTGTCATCTGCAAACGTGCTGAGGGTGCAGTCCACGCCATCCTCCAGATCATTAATGAAGATGTTGAACAAAACCGGCCCCAGGACCGACCCTTGAGGCACTCTGCTTGAAACCTGCTGCCAACTAGACATGGAGCCATTGATCACTATCCGTTGAGCCCGACAATCTAGCCAGCTTTCTATCCACCTTATAGTCCATTCATCCAGCCCATACTTCTTTAACTTGCCGGCAAGAATACTGTGGGAGACCGTATCAAAAGCTTTGCTAAAGTCAAGGAATAACACATCCACTGCTTTCCCCTCATCCACAGAGTCAGTTATCTCATCATAGAAAGCAATTAGGTTAGTCAGGCATGACTTGCCCTTGGTGAATCCATGCTGACTGTTCCTGATCACTTTCCTCTCCTCTAAGTGCTTCAGAATTGATTCCTTGAGGACCTGCTCCATGATTTTTCCAGGGACTGAGGGGAGGCTGACTGGCCTGTAGTTCCCCGGATCCTCCTCCTTCCCTTCTTTAAAGATGGGCACTACATTAGCCTTTTTCCAGTCATCCGGGACCTCCCACGATCGCCATGAGTTTTCAAAAATAAATAGCTCTAGCACCTCTATGCTTTTGAGCAGACTTGAAATTTGGCAGGGGAAGGGGTGGTGGTGATGATGGCATTTGTGTCAGTAATGTACCCTGCCTGTGAAAATCTGCCCAAATGTGGCCAAGTTATAAGGGTTTGAAAATTCATAGTTTGCACATTTAGTAGACATATATTTAACTTTAGCTGCTAGAAATCTCTACATATTGCATCCTTTCTGAGCATGCACCTGATACTCAAAGCTCCTAGTGCTAACCAGACTGCTCATGCGCCATCCCCACAGAGTACCCAAGCATGCTCCATCCCCTCACAGTTCCTACAGGACTATACATGTGCCATCCTGGGGCTACAGGGGCTAATCCAGACTTTCCCTGTAATACCTGCTCCAGGTCAGGGACTGGAATTGAGAGCAGGGAGCCTGTCTCTTCTGTGCTCTCAGTGACACCTCCTGCTCCACCTGCACTCAGGAATGTGGAGGAGGAACCATCTGATTTGATTGCTGAGGGGATAAAAGTCAGATCAGGGGAGGAGGAAAAGGAGCAGACTGGGACAATGTGAGTAGTGAGACTTGGAGTTTGGTGTGGGGGTGGGAGAGGAAGATGAGACTGCGACTGGATGAACAGAGAGTCTGGGACAAGAAGCCAGGGAGGAGGTGGAAACTGAGGTTAGATGAGAAGCCTGAAGGGTAAAATAGGGCTGGGACCTAGCTGCGGGGGAAGGAGGAGGAAGAGGAAAGACAGATCTGATGTGAAGCCAAGAGAGGGGAACTAGGACTGGCTTGGCAAGGAGAATGGGACTGTGCGGGGAAGGAAAATAGGACTGGGACATGGAGCCAGGATGTGGAAGAAACAGGGTCAGGTTGGAGGGAACAGGGCAGAAAGGGTCAAGCTTGCAGGGCAACAGGAAGAATCTATGCCCACTAGAGCGCACTCCCCTCCAAAATCTGGAACGGAAGCCAAAAATTCCTGAGTCTCACCCTTCCCCTGCTGTCATAAAATATTTCTGAAACCCACTGACAAAGTGTGTGGCTTCTCCCCTTCTAGTGCTACCAGTTATTCCATCAGCTCAAGTGGCAGAGGTCGGTGTGGTGGAAATAAAGATTGCAATCTTGCCTATGAAACATGGGTATCAGTATGATGCCACATGATGGAATTTCTGGGTTTTTTCAGTTTGCTTTTTTAAAAACCTAGCGAATGTTAAAATAAAGTTAAAAGAGCATTTACATTGTGAAGTCAAGCTCTCAAAAATTAAGACATGCCATATTTAAGGTAGCCAGTGCAGCCTTGGTCCCCTTGTACATATGCATTATGATAGTCTTTAATTGCTTGATCATAAATATACTTTCTTCATTCAATGAGTCTCTTTTTTTAAAAAAGATATCTTGATACTCCCAGCTGACGTATTTCCCCAGAGACTCTTGTATTTTCTTTATGGGTTTTGTACTGTTTACTTAGTATTTCCAGACTTGTTAGTCAGGTCTATAATATTGCCAACCACAAACATTAAAAAAAAATAAATCACGAGTCAGGCCTCAAAAAACATGAGATCAGCTTTAAAATCTTGAGATTAAAAATAATAATTTTGGGTGTTGTGTGTGAGGCTTTTTTTGTTTCTTTGATTTGTTTTGGGTTTTTTTTCCTCCTAGTTTGAGTCTTTAGGGTGCCCTCACATCACACTTTCAAGATTTCCTCCACTCCACTGAGGACTAGAAAACTTACTTTAAAGATTTCATTTTTCTTATTTCCTGCATTCCAAGGTGCTGAGGCTTTAAGGAAAAAAACCAAACGTATATCACAAAACTTACAATAAAATAGTGTAAAAGCGGCAAAGAGTCCTGTGGCACCTTATAGACTAACAGGCGTATTGGAGCATGAGATTTCGTGGGTGAATACCCACTTCGTCGGATGCATGACAAATAAAATAGTGAGAACTGGTGTACCTAGCCTTTCATGGCTGTTTTGTTTGCTGTTGTCTAATGTCACAGCACATCTGTTCCTTTTAATGATATTATGCCTTGCCTTGGTCGTCACCTTCATTTTTATAGGTTTACACCATTTAAATTGAAATAAAGTTAGTTCAAAACTACATTGTCTCTCAAAAGTTTCTAGATCAAATGTGGGCCAGGTTTACAGGTATCCATCGCTAATCACTTATATTAATGGTTGAGGATAGCTTTTCAGTATTAGATCAATTTCTCAAATTCATAATGTGATTCAATTTTCCCATTTCTGCCGTAAGAAGGTACTTAAGATCATGAAGAAACAAGTATATTACTTGAGTTGTTGAAAGCTGTTTAGTTAGATCTTGTATGGTTATCAGGAAGAGTTTAGTGGTTCAGAACAGTTATATTCTCTCTGGCTTGACTAAAACACTGAATTCACCTCTGGACATCTTAGTGGTAGGGTTATGGAGGCAAACTGAGTGGAATGCAGATAAACGCCAGAAAAATGATCATGAAGTTAGAAATACAGTTGGTGGAAATTTGATAAAATTTGGGGGAGATTGGGAGTGTCGTTTATTATACAGTGCATGCGTGAGCACACGTGCTTCAAGTTGGCAGGATTGACTGGTGAGAGAAGATTACAAGAGCTAAATATATAGCTTGTCTCAATGGAGGAAGAACAGTTCAGTGGATAGGGCATTAGTCTAGGGGCTTGGGAGAGCCTTGTTCAGTGCCATGAGCTGCCACAGACTTCCTGTGTGACTTTGGGCAAACCAATTTGGGTCAGATGCACAAAGGTATGTATGTGCTTACATGCCCTGGATAGCTAGACAACAACAACTAAGGGGAGACACAATCACAGTTGACAAGTATCTGAGGGACTCTGATTCCAAGAAGAGGAGGAGGATTGCTGAAGGAGAGATGAAAGAAGGGAGCATAACTAAGTGAAATGGAATGATATTAAAAAGATAAATTAAGACTTGGTATCAGCTAAGATGTACTAATGAC